AAGAAGCAAAGAGACCGAAGTTTTCTATGAACTGGCACATGAACTGCCCCTGCCCCACAACATCAGTTCCCACCTGGACAAGGCATCCATCATGCGCCTGGCAATCAGTTTCCTGCGCACTCACAAGCTGCTGTCTTCAGGTAAGATCTGGCCATAAGAAGTTATCATTGGTAGTTGATTGTATATGTTCTTCTCTGAGTACAGGGTCCTAAGGTGAGAACAGGACATACTGCTTGTGTTGTAAGAATACAACTGGATTTAAAGATTGGTTGGTGTTTTTTTTTTCCAACAGAATTAGGTATATTTTAATTGAGTTAGCAGGCACACCTTCCACTAGACCAAGTTGCTCCAAGCCCCATCCAACCTGGCTTTGAACACTGCCAGCTTTCTAAGCTTCCCTGGGCAACCTGTTCCAGGGCCTCATCACCCTCATAGTAGAGAATTTCTTCCTTATTTCAAATCTAAATCTCTCCTCTGACAGTTTAAAGCCATCCCCCCGGTCCTGTTGCTGTGTGCTCTTGTAAAAAGTCCCTTTCCACATTTCTTGTCAGCCCCTTTAGGTATTGGAAGTTGCCCTAAGGTCTCCCCTTAAGGAGCCTTCTCTTCTCCAGGCTGAACCAGCCCAGCTCTCTCAGCCTGGCTCTAAGCCAGAGGTGCTCCAGCCCTTGGAGCATATTCTTGGCCCTCCTCTGGACCCACTCCAACAGGTCCAAAACATCAGTGATATCAGTCATATAAGGTCTTCATTACCAAAATAGCAACTAGTGCAGTTTTGCCTCTCTAAAATAAAACCTCTCAAAACTCTTGAATGTGGTTTATTAAGCTCAATTACAAGATTTTAAGCTTTTAAGTTTATTCAGAATTCAAACATATGCCTTAAGCTTCCATGCTGAAACAAGTAAATTTTGATTTGGCGTGGCAAACGTGTTTGTGCCAGCACATTCAAAAGGCAGCTGGGAGGTTCTGAAGGTCCAATACTTTCTTTAAAGGAGCTAATTGTTCTTGCTATATGCTGGCAATGAGTAGTAGGTGTTTATGACATAAGATAACTAAAGCAAACAGCTTTTAAAGACTCAACATGAATGGACTCTATGTAATCAGAATCTTGCTCATGTTCTAAGAAATGTGAACCAGGGAACCAGCATCATTTTCATGTGAAAACAGGCAAAATTAACAATATTCTTATTTTGCACCTGTATTTGAATAATCAGTTTGATGGAAATCTATGGTTTGAGTAACCTGTAAGATCAATGAAAGCAACTGGTGTTTCTGGGGAACTTTGGCACAGTAAGTATCAAGAATACGTTGACCAAACAATGCCTGCATTGTCTGTGAAAGGTAACCCCCAAATTTCATCTTTTCCTTAATTAATGGCAAAACTCCCAATAAGGTCACGATTGCACTTCCTTTCCTTAGAGAAGTTGAGTCATAACATAACAATTACTTTCATAAATGCTATTAGGAAGTGTCTCGTTTTGTGGACAGCTATGCTGTTGGGTTGTTGCTGGGTAGTCTGAAAGATGTGACAAACTCGATTCTACTCCTGAGCGCTCCATAGTTTTTGTAGCTGCTTTGCCTTCTGCTAAAACTATTGTATCAAATGTGGATATTTCCATCTTAGCTTATAGAATGTGGCTTTTTAACATGTCCTTCTGTGGAAAGAAAAGTTTATTTGCTGAGCAGTGTTTGGAACTCATCTCAGATTTCATCATGTCATTAATACTGGAGAAGTTGCGTAAAGAGGTAAATGTTGTTGAAAGTGCCGTACACCAAGCCAATGTGTTGTTAACTTTCTCATAAAAACACAGCTTTGGCTATTCAAATATTTATATGGTATGAATTAGAGACTGACAAAGCACAGGAAAAGCAAACTTCTGAAGGGCTGTGGAAAAAAAACTATATATGTGTGTGTATATATATACATATAATAGTTTGATGCTGTCATCATTGGGAAAATATAATTGCTCACCTGCAAACTGTGAAGATTAAAGTGAACTTTTCATCTACATGTGTATTAGTGAGAACATCTGTTTTAGTGCTTCTGCAATGGCTTAGGCTCGTATCATTTGATAATAATGACAACTCAGTATATGTTTATAATATTCATACATACGCATAGTTATATGATTTTTCTGTGACAGTGATTGAAAAAACAATGTGATTCATGTAGGTGATTTACATTTTTTGGAAGTACCACCAGAAATTATTTCCTTAGATGTAAATCTGATGCACTTCCTCGGTCTGAATATTAATGTTGAGTAAGTCCTCTCATTAACAGTTGTGGAGTTAGACAAATGCAGATTTGTCCATGGGTACACGGAGATGTAGGTAAGGGTTTCAAAATCTTCAGTGCTTTTATTCCGAGGAACTGAACTTAAGGTACTTTAAAGGGATTGATTTTTTTCTGGATGATTTTGGTATTATTTGCTCATGAGAATACACAGAGATGAAAGAACTCAAGCCAGAAAACCTCATCTGCTATTTGTGTTCTTCTCATTTAAATTAGATTCTATATCTCTGATTGTGGGCGTCTGAACAGTGTTGGTCTTTAAGGACACTGGCTTTCACTACAAGGCCATCTGATTTACTTCAAGGGGATAGGTTTTTGATGCAGCTTTAGTCTCACAGGTGAAGGGGTTTTACTGCCCATACATTTTGACAAGAGTGTGGAGCAATATGGGAGCTCTGCTTGTGTGATGCCTGTCCATGCTGTTCTTGCTCTTGCTCTGGACCCTTTTTAAGCCCCAAGCAAAGCTGCCCCCCATTCCACTTCCATGTTTAGTAGACTACAATCTGACCATTAATTCAGTGTTGCATTTGAGGAGCCTGATTTGACTGGTGACGACCGTGGGGGTTACTGTGTCATCTCTGACAGGTGAACTGGGAAACAGGGAGGTGGAGGAATGCAGTGTGCATGGGAAGCAAAGGTCTGCCTCAGCCTGCAGACCCCCGCTTTGCTTTATGTTATCTTCATGGAAATGGTTTTGGTTTATTTGGGCTACATGCTTGGTGTAAACTGGAGTTAAGTGGGAGTATTTATCCTGTCATTAATTGGGACATTAAAATAACATCTTCTGCGTTTGTATGTGTATATATACGATGTCATTAAATAAGCTTGCAGTACAGCTTGAAAAATGCTTTGAAGGGTAGTAGAGAAAAAAGTTACTCCTTGATTAGCACTTTCCTCATGTATTATTTACTCTATCAAAACCTACTGGTAAACCAGGTTTTATTTTATAGCACTGGTTGGCCATGATTCTCAAATGTGAGCCCATCTCTTCGTTTCATGGCAGTTTTGCCTGCAGTGGGGAGAGCAAGGCCCTTCCCAGGACTGCATCCTCATCTTTCTGCAAGCCGATGCTCCAGATGGGATTTCAGAGATGGCCGTAGGCAACGTGCCAGCCTCAGTCCGCTGGCATTGAGTGTCTCATACCCCTTCCTATTATTCCACGACTCGGAATAGGGCTTTTCACTTGTGTAGCTCGGGCTGTTTTACTAGCTGTGTCTGCATAATGATTATTTATCTGTCAGGAAGCCAAGACCTAGGGAAATCTATGCCCACATTCTTCCAGCAGGTGAATGGCAGAGCCTGTGAATCTGAGCCTTCATTGAGAGCTCTCCTGCTACGTGCCTCTGAAAATCCCAGCTTCAGGATTGCAGGGTGCACGTCTCCTGCAGGCATTGCAGGGCCCGAGCTTGGCCCTTGTATCCTATCATAATAGGAAATAGCTGGTTGTATATCTCAGAGTTCAAAAGGGTAAAAAATACCAGGTTTTGCTTTATAAAAGTTGTTGCTTTACTTAGTAACACGTTTCCCTTTGATTTTCACAGTAGGCAATTCTGTGTGGGAATGTTGGAGAGGAAGCCTTTAACATTTAGAAATGCAGGCTGTTCATCTGACGGCCTGATTGAGATTAGTATCGCAGGAAGCAAACTGAAACAATAGCTTTATAATACTGTTTCCATGTTGCGCACAGAACAGTACAGGGTACAACTGGAATGCAAAGTAGAAATATCATTTAATTATGCTCATGTTAAATATTTTTCAAGATGTCCTCTAATTCTGTTGGCATAATACATTTTTGCCATCATGACATTCAAATGTTCGGGATAAATTTAGAACTGATCTTTGTTTCAGGGAAAGGTTTTGATCCCATAAAGTTGCTGCTGAAAATAGACAGTTTGATGCTTATCGCTAGTGGACCTTTTGGGTCTTGTGTCCTTTAGTATAGTCAGAAAAACTGATAGCAGTACTTGTTGCCTGTTAGTCTGTAGTCTAGCTAGTAAATTAGCCTAATGCTTTTTGGGGGATTAATAGATGGGAAGAGAGAAATAACTGTCTTTTGCTGAGGAATGGCTGTCTTGGTTAACAGCTAACATCATTATGGTTGTTAAGGCTGCCTCAGATAGTCTCTTTTTGTCTGGATATGAGGAAGAGAATCCACTTTAGTAAGCCTGCATGGGCGTTAGCATGTGGTGCCCATAATTTGAAGTGTTCCTTTGGACCACATTGATGCTGAAGGCATTACAGGAAGCAGAACTCCTTGGTACCAGTGAGTTTCTGTGTGCCAGCGCTGCAGACTTTTTTAGTCAAGCTAATCAGGCAAACATAATTTTATCAGCTCTCTTTCATCCCATCCCAGTGGTGTGGTCACCAGGGTGTCTTTTCTGTGCAGAGGTCCAGCAAAGGAAACTGGATGGGAGTTGCTCCTGTGCAGGCAGACAGCAGCAGAAATGGGGAGGGAACAGGGAAGCAGACGGGAAGTTGTTTGGGAGAAGGGAGGCCATGAGGAAGCCACTGTGAAGTTGTTTCAAGGGAGGGAGACAACAGAGCCGGAAAGCCAGCAGGGAGCAGAAGGGAAAAAATAGCTTTTCTCCAGGCTTTTAAGGGAGAGGACAAGCTACAGGGAGAAGTGTTGTGGGCATTGTTTTTGAATGTCTGGACAAGCTGCATCTAATCTCAGGCCATTGTGGCATAAAACAGTGCTTTAAAAATAGCATGGCTACTTGTTTGCTTTTATTAAATTGGAAAAATAGCTTTGTGCCAACCGTGCTGCCAGGAATGGGAGTGGAGCTGGGTGCTGAGTGCTTCGGCTGCTTAAAGTGATGTCCCTTCTTTGGGAAGCTGTGCCAGAAGGTCCCAAAGGGCGCTGGAAGCCTGGTCTGATGGGGTGCCGTGTCTTGCCGTTCAACGCTGAGGGCTGTAGGACTCAAAGCAGCTTCCCGGGAGCAGCATCTGAATGATTTGGCTAGATATAAACTCTGCAATTAAAACAACACTAACATAAGTGTTTTCTTTATCAAAGTTGCTTGTGCGCTTGGAGATAAGAGCTCTTCAGGAAGCTTCAAGTTTAAGAGTAGCTTTTTCTTGATGTATCTAAACTGAAAGCTTTTATTGAACACATTGAAAATATCCCCTTGAACAGGATGTACTGCCCCGTCAAGACAAGAAGAGAAAGGAAAAAAAAAATCAGTTGCTTTCCTTTGATGGAAAACAAGGAACCAGGAAGAGGCAAGTCTGGCTCAAGGCTGCTCTCTCTGGGGCAGGATGGAGCTGCTGTTAGATATTCCCTAACTTTTGCCTGCCGGCATCAGGCGGCGTTTACAGCCCTCTGTGGAATGGCAGCTATAACCTGGGGTCTTTTATGCACAAAACATAAAGAACTTTCTGGTATTTGTAAGATCCAGGATGAGAGGCAAAGCTATGAGAATACTGTGGAGAAGTTGATGTGGCCTCCAGTAGAAACCTTTTTTATCACTCTTTACCTGTGAACTGACCAGAAAAGGCCCCTTTGAGTCAGATCAAAGGTGTTGAGGGGAGTAGAAGCTGTTTGCTAGAGGCTGTTTATACCTGGGCAGTTATTGCTTGTAAGGAGACCCCCATTTTTGAGCCATCAGGCTCGTTCCAAGAGGTTGGACTGACGGAAATGAGCAAGCATCTACGGAAAAAGTGTTCTTAAACTTGGGAACAGTGCACATCCTGACAGTGGGAATTAATCAAAGCTTGTTTACAAGAGCTATTTTTAGCATAAAAGGTTATCATAAACACTGCAATAAGCATTTGCCATTGCAGTTCAAAGTTTCTTGATGCTGAATAAATTCCACTTTGGGGGTTAGAAAACTTTTCAAAGTGGAGTTTACCAAAAACTACCAAAATTTAATACAGGCAGAGACATGGACTGAAAAATACTGCATCAGGGTTTGATGCAGACTAAGAAATGCTGCCTTGGGGCAATATGAGCAGCGGGATGACCCATCAGACTGGGACATGGGGACACTTGCTCTGTTCTTGGTTCTGCTGTAGCTCTGGCAGCTGCCCCAGGGAGGCCAATGTGCTTGTCTGAGGTTCTCTGACATGTTTCAGCATCTCCCGAGCTCACCTAGGCAGAGATTCTTCCTCCTTTGTAGGCTTCCCAGTACTACATGAGCACAGTCTTGGCCAGGATCCATAAATGTAACTATAATATGAACAATAATATCACAGCACTTCATTCTGCTGAATGTGCTATTAATTTAGAGTTAAACTGGCATATTTGCAGTCCGGTCTCCCTGCTATGCTGTTATGGTGCCTGCACTGAGATATTCCTATTAATAGAGGGGAGATGGGAAAATGTTGTAGGGAAAACAAGAAGAAACACGTTTTTATTTCAGAATTTAGTTAGCAGCTATTTGGAAAAGCAATGCTGACAAATGGCAAAAATAAAACTGGGGGTAAATGGAATCTACAGTTGCCTTTCTTTAAGACCTGGAAAATTCCAGGCAGTCTACATGGGGTGCTGTTATCTGGCCTTAGACCTACTGGAAGACTGAAGTTCTGCCCCTGCCTCCTCATCCTGACCTGCTTCCGTTTGGTCCCAGCTTTCTCAAATGTTTTCCATTTGAAGCCAGATTTTCTTGTGCTAGTGCTGCAGTCCAGCTCCGAGGTGAATTAATGAAGAAAACTGAAAGCTAAGTGAAAGACAATAGGGATTTCTGGGAGCAGCCTGCATTTGTTTCTTGTCTTGTTCTTGTCTTTATTTGTTTTTCTTCTGTGAAATAGCTTCTTTCTAAAGCAAACTAGGTTTTTGTGAGTGGCAATGACTGATGTATCAGTCTCCTAATGTGTGTATATCCTCTATGTATTAGTAGCTAGTGATTTTCACAGAAGGGGGACGAGCTATAATGCTGTAACTGCAGCCATATAAAAGGTTCTTAGTATAATTATAGTAATATAAATAATAAGTTACCTGACACAGGGCATTCTGGGGCTGCCATGGTGATGCCTAGCATAGTTCTGTGCTGTGGACTAATGATCTTGAGGCAGCTAATATGCTTTAAGGGTTTAGCACAGATGACACCTTATGGGACTGAGTGTTTGCAACCACCACAAAGAACCTGGACACAGCAGAAGCCGTGAGCACTTTTGGTGCATCCCCCAGTGCTTGAACATCCCTGGGCAGGCTGTGGGGAGATGCTGCTGAGGGGCAGGCAGGGAATGGATGGGCAGCAACAGCACAGTGGTCCCTGGAGGTACTTGTCTTCTACCTTCATGTGCCTGATAGTGCCTACATTTTCCTCAATGCAGCTGCTCTGTAATAATAGAGCATGATCTACAAAGTACTACAAGAAACCTTGTCTGCCAGCTCCCATTGCCTCATGGGGATGCTGAAGGGGGAAGGAGGAGATGCAGTGGGGTTACCAGTGAAGCTGGAGGGTGTCTGCAAAGCACCTTGGGTGTTCTTTGGGGTTATGTGAGGGGGCTGCGCAGCAGCACAAACCCTCTTCCCTCCCTCCTCCCAGTCCACATTATATATACCTCCAGCTGGACAAAGGTAATCATAACGAAAACAAGTTGAACTCTGATCCCACAGAACCCTATAACCCTGTGCTTTAAAGCTAGCTATATCTTTAAGTGCTGTGCTCAGCTAGGACATTAAGCGTTTGAACCTGCAGCCCTGATGTGAGTGATCCTATGTCCTCTGCCTGTATTTGTATAAGTAATATAATTTATATACATGGAAAAGCAAACTTTATCATCTGATAATACGAGTAAAGTGTTTGTCTTTCACTGTTGGAGGCATTTAAGAATACAAGTGCTTTCAATAGCCTTCCTGCCTTTGAATGGCCATGTTTTGTTAATGCGAGCTTAATGAGCTGGGGGTTAAAAAATGGAAAGGAGGGTCTGGGGTTCGAGCTGAAAAGTCATTTTCTTCTCTGAACCCACACTTGGCTGATTGTCTTGGGCTACAGCCATGATCCCTGCTGAATAAACCATTTGTTTGCTTCCGGAAAAGAAGACCCTTGACATTCTTTACACAGCAGAAACAAGCTTGGGAGCAGATGGTCACTTACCTTTTTTTTTTCTCCTCCTTCCCTAAATGTCATTATGGTCAAAGTGCGTACTATTCAGATGTATTCTTGTGTATTTTCTGCGTTTTAAATGCTAGCCCTGATGTAATTTCCTGAAGTCAGTTGCTTTGTACTGAGGAGGAACTGGCTGTTGCGTTTGCACTCGGAAGCGCAGCGCAGGGACACGAAATGATAAATCCCCAGCCTGTGGTGGCCATCCCCAGAGAGCGTCTTCTCTTCCCTGCTACGGAGCAGTCGCATTGAGAAGCAAAAGGTGGCAAAACAAGTGCTCCCAGTGGCGCTGGGGCCGAGTCCATTTCTTCCTTTGCTGGCACGATGGGAAATGGGCTGCTGCTGGGGGGGAATGTTGAGATGCAGGATGAGGATGCAGCAGCAGCCAGCATCGTTTCTCTCACCGCTCATCTTTTCCAAGCAGTGGCTTGGTGGGTTCTGCACTGTAAGTGCTCATCCCTCTGCATTTACTCACTGGCCATCCTTAGGTACTAGCAGATGGAGTTGCAGGAGGTTTCTAGATTGAACTCGCCTTTTAATCATAATTCACTGAGACTTCAAGGAAGAACTGCATTTGTTTGGCTGAGCCTCTTCCCTACCCCAAAAAATGCCAACCCCAAACCACTTCTAATAATGTTTTACAAAGCAATACCCCATTCCTTGTTCTAGACTTCTTCCAAAACAAGTATTTCAACAAGGAACATGAAGGGAAGTGATGAACGTGCATATGGCCAAAAGAATGTGCACAAAAGATGTGCTTCAGTGTTTAGGTATCTAGCTGTTAGTACTGAAAACACATCTTGCAGAAAGACACTAAGGGTGAACAGAGGGTCTGTTGCACTTGCCAGAGTTCAGAAAGATATCTCCTGCCTTGCTAGTGATAAAGGCATCCCTTTTGTACAGTGCTCAGAAGAGGGTTGTCTTGTCTTGGTTGCCCTGTACCTGGATGTGTTTGTGTTGAAAAAGGCTGGCTATGGTGCTGAAGACTTTACATGCCTTTCTTTCCCCCCCAGTATGTGCTGACAATGAGAATGAATTAGAGGCAGACCAGCAGATGGACAACTTGTACCTGAAAGCTTTGGAGGGATTTATTGCCGTGGTGACACAGGATGGAGACATGATCTTTTTGTCAGAGAATGTCAACAAATACATGGGTCTTACCCAGGTAACTTGTTCCGTAACACTTTCCTGTCTTTGTAATACAATTCCTAGAAACGAGGCCTATGCCTAAATGCAGAAAACCAGCTGTGTCTCGTTGCAAAAAGAGACTGGAAATAGAATGTCTCATTTCTCAGCAGGTACCATGTACACCAGACAACAGTGGGGGCGGGGGGGGTGTCCCCCTCCCTTTCTATCAAAGTCGTACTGTCTTTGGCACCTGCAAACTTACCTTCCTAGATGTTACCGTGGAGAGGAGAATGGGAGTTTATTCAATTTATGCTTTAGACCCTGAGACATGGGGATTGAGCTGCTCTTTTATGTACCCCCCTTTTCTGCTTTGTGGATTGGGGGTTTTCTCCTTCTGTGTTGAAAGCAACCGGTGGTGTTGGCTGTTAACTGCACTTGCAAATGCAAAGATAAGGAATTGCTCTGGGGAGAAAATGAACTTATGCATGGGATAAACAAAGGGAGGGTCACAGGCTTTGTGTCTGTGAGCATTCTGGTTCTAATGACCGGTTTTATCTGAATAGGTGGTATTTAAAACCAGGTAAATATCATCAATTGTTTTTATTTGGCTAAGTGTAGTTCTTACTTCTGCGCAGGTGGAATTAACTGGACACAGCATTTTTGACTTCACTCATCCATGTGACCACGAAGAAATTCGAGAGAATCTCAGCCTGAAAAATGGTAATAATGAAAATACACAAGTCACCATTTGCTTTTTAAGTAACCAAATGAGGTAACTGGCTAGCAGTAGAGAT